TTTGACCTATGAATGTGAATGTCTCTTTGGTATCTTTCGCCCCTCTTTTATATGCCCTTGTGCTGTAAAATCGAAAATTTAACCAGTATGTGGGCTACTATGCAGTAATCTTGTTTTCGAAGAGAAGGGGGGTATGATTAGTGTATTCCAAATAATTTGTGATGATCTGGATGGGGATCCCTTATTTCTTTATTCTTTAATGTTATCGACATTTTTTCTCTATTCTGTATTTATTTTGCCCATTATTCTCTACACTTTATATTTTAGCACCCAGTAATATCGTTTCTTTAAATTTATTATTTTTGCTTATTTTTCTCTGTTCTTTATTTTGTTTGCCCTTCATTCTGCACTTTTTTTTTGCCAATTATTCTATATTCTGTAACCCCCATCTAGAACCTCGTTTGTTTTTTCTTTATGAATTACATGTTTAAAGTGGCACTTGCAGAGAGAATTAATTGAACATCTTTCATTCAAACCAAAACCCTGTGCATTAAAGCACTTGATCCACTTCTGTTCCTATTCAATTGACAAAAAACAAAAAGGTGGGAGAAGATAACAAGTGGAAAGTCTGCTAAAAGTCATCGAAAACATAGAACTGGAAAGATTGGGACAGTTGTGGGCATAATTTCAAACTATATGTTATTGGACATTGTGGTTTAATGATGAACAAACAAGGACCAATCAAAATACAGATCATGTGTGTTCAAGCTTTGTTTACTTACATAAAATAAGAAAAAAATGTTACAAACAAAATATGATACAGCAACGGTACCCGCAGCACTTTTGCATATTCATTAAGATTCGTCAGAGAGATAAGTATTTTTTTCAGAAGTGAATTAGTAATTGTATCTCAATGTCTGTGAGTCCCTAATTCTCAGCACAATTTATAAATTAAAGACGTGGATTACATTTATATTTTAGTTCCTGTATAAAACATGTCCATTTTTCTGTAGATTTGGCCCATCAATCTCTATTCTGTAAACCCCCTCCAGACCCTCATAAATTGGAATTAAACTTCTTAGAAGTTTACAAAACTAAATCATTTTTCAGTGTCTTTTCAACTGATTTTTATAGTTTGTTCTTATGTTGTGCTGAATTAAACCGCTGTCCCAGGTTAGGGGAGGGTTGGAGTGCCTGCAAACATTTTTCTGTTTGTGCCTGTTCCAAGTCAGGAGCCTGTTATTCAGTGGTTATAGTTTGTTGTTGTATATCATAGTTTTTGGGGGTTTATTGTTTAGTACATAAATTAGGCTATGAGTTTTCTAGTTTGAATTGTTTTCCATTTGCCATTTCAGGACCTTTTATTGCTTGCTATGGATTTTGGTCATGGTTGATAACTTCTACGTTATTTAGTTTCTGGTGGAGAGTTGTCTCATTGGCAATCATACCACATCTTCTAATCTTTATACTGTTAGAGTGAATACTGTTAAAGTTTGATAGTATTGTATTGTCAAATTCAAATTGATACGAAAAGGGGGAGTTTTAAATCAAAACTCCTCCTTTGTTAATAACATGATGCCTATCTGTCAATCTATTAATATTGTATCAGGACATATATTTAATAATTATGACCAAAGTAGCATGCAAATTGATAGAACCAAATTTTTCACCTTTCATTTGTGCATTGTAACATAGAAACGAGAAGTGTTCGAACTGTATTTCTGTGTATGTTGATTTATTGCCAAACACCCTTGTATTCTAGTTTAATTTGTGAGGTAAAGCCTTGGTAAATAATTTTAACAAATTTCCTATCTTTCTTAAGGGGGTACAGAACATCTAACGGAGTTAATTCTTTAAAAAATTAGCTGAACATTTTAATCACAAACTTTCAGTAAAGAGAAATCAAGTTTCTCAGTGATCAAAATTAGTGTTTGTCAATCTACTTAATATCCAATGAAATTATTCCTGTAAATCTTATGGTTCAAATTTTTCAAATTTGTTATATTTTTGTAAACAGGTCATAGTAAACATTTTGTCAAGATTTTATGAAAATTAATCGAGCCAAATCTCTTTTAGTTAAGGTGTTGGGTACCCCCTTAAAACACAAGCAGAGTAAAAACAAACAACAAATTTACAAAAGGAAAAAATACTAACACTTAAACAACACACAAAAGGAAAAAATACTAACACTTAAACAACAGTTCACAAGATATTACATAAAAAACAGGTTAAAAGGTCTCTCCCAAAATCCTAAGTCAACTTCAGGGGCTCCATAAGGGTAGCAGTTTCTGCTCCACTGTAGTGACAACCATTTTATTACTATAATTGTAAATAGACAATAATTTGACAGTATAATCAATTTATTAGACACAAGTTTGTTATTCTCAAAGAAAATAAATAAATAATTTTATCACAGACAACTTCCTCATTCAACTATACAATATAATTAATATATTATACAGTGAGCAATATTTGTTCTACAGAGAATATAATAGAGGTGTATCATTTCTAAGTAATTTTTGAAATTTGTTTTGAATTATGATGATTTAGATCTTAACATACATATAGATTCTACCATTGCATCAAGTGTGATACAGTATTTATGAACTGGAGACAGTTAAATTTTCAAATTTAAAACACAAGGCTTGCCTCACATTTTAAATTTAACTGTTGAGAGTGGATAAATATCGTATTGCACGAGATTTGGTGGTGGAATCTGTTTCCCTAATAATTTTAGACCATTTACAGACAATCTTAATCCTTCTTTTCGAATGATCTGCAAGAAGATGTGTTTTTTCTATGTGTAGTCACCAGACATGGTCGCCTTTTTTAATGACGACACAATAGGAAATTCAGAGGAAAGCAAGAAAATCTTGACGTTATAATCAAATTTTGACCAATGGAGAACTGAGATCAAACGAACCACACGTTGATTAAATAAAAATAATCAACAGGTCAGGAAAAGGATAAATTGTGAAAGAATTCCAGAAATACAATAATAATTATTGAGGACTGTATGTCTTAAGTCTGCTGTCTCACTCAAATATATCACACACCTTTTTAATCATATATAATTCGTTCATTAAAGGGAATTCTGAAGACATATTCACTTGCATTTTTCTTGAATGAAAATTTCACAAGAATCATTTTGTATTAGTAAATTTAAATGCCATATATTAAAGCTTAAAGTAAATTATCTTGAGTTAACTTTCTATAATTCATTTAAATAAGCTACGCAGTCTGTTTCCAAGGACTATAGATTTTTTTCAAATATAATTATAACATTTAAAAAAGCTGTTCGTGAAAAATTTTGTCATTTGTAGAGAGATAAAACGCCTGAATTTTATCACAACAGATATTTTACAAATATTCTAAAACAAGGCATCTGTAATTAAAATGATTCAGACTTGTTTGGTTTCAACTGGCATAGATGATAATTTTACATGTAAATCATCCCCGTAGCCAGGGGGTTTGAAAAGATTGGATAAACCCCCCTCTGAAAAATAATATTAGTAAAAAGAATAGAGGATGGAAACACAGTGAATGTTTCAAAGAGACAACAACCTGATCAAAGAGCAGAAAACAGCCCAAGGCCAGCAGAAAATCCAACACCTGGAGGTGGAGACTATTGAAGTCAAGGTTTGGGAATGATGTTTGACTATTTAAGTCCCAAATGACCCCCCAAAGATATCCTGGCTACTACAGGCCTGACAATGATATATTGTCATCAACCTTGTATTCTACATGATCTACACAGTGAGCTTTATTTTTCAGTAACAGTTTGTACATTTCTGACTCTAGTTGACCAGTATTTGCTCCTACTCCTTAATACTGTGTGATAGGTGGGGAAGCAGTAAATACCAATTTTATTTTAAAGTCAGAAGTTTACTTCATTCAGAGATTAAACACATGATTACACACATTGAAGGGAAGTACAAAACCATACGACTAAAAAAGTGTCAAGACGATAAGGAGATACACTGTGTATTTAGCAAAATTTTGTAAAAATGATTTCAAATTTTTCCTCCAAAATAGTAGGTATGTCATTTAATGTATAAATATCTTAATCAAATATGGAAATCAGCATCTAATTACTATAGTCCTCAAATATCTATTTACAAAATATAATATTTCAAAATATATATAATTTTCACATTAAGATAAAATGTGACAACATAAAAATATAATCGTCTACACAATACAATCTCAATGAATAAATGTAAAATGATTCTTGAACAATGTATACATGTTAAGGTAGATTAGGTGTCTTCTGCCATTTTTTTGCATAACCTGTAGCTTTAAAATAAGCACTGTGACCCCTACTGTTTATCATATTTACGAAAGAAAAAAGCATGATATAAACTTCATTTTGGCAAATGATTAAATTTTTTATTGATTTTGATTTTGATCTAGACCCAATCCCCCCACCCCACCCATCTACCTAAATGTTATATTTTTCAAATCAAGGATATATTTTTTTCAGGTACCGATGACATCCAATGAGCAAAACTCGAAATTAAGGTATAATACTATCAAAATAAAATTGTCAAAACTGGTTTCACAAAAACATAAAAAAAACTTAATATTTGCTAAAGACAAGGATTATGGATTTAAGAACTTTTAAAACTATGTCTGATGTGTTCATATCAGAGGAGATCAAAGTTTGACAATATATTTGGTTCTTTTTTTACTCCTGCAATGCATGTCAATTGCTTAAAAAATATTTAGTCTTTAATATATATATATATATATATATAACAAAAAAATTCTCTTCAAAAGACTGCAAAAGTTGAAACATAAAACTGCTCAATGACTTGAGAGTAATATTTAGGACGGAAATATATATCCTCTTAAAAAATTTGACAGCAAAAAAAACCCAAACTAATTAAGGTATAAAAAATTAACAAAAACTGTAAAATAAGTTTTATAATGAATTTTAACCTTACTAGACTTTAATAATAGTTATATCAGTCCATATTTAATAACATTAAAGCTTAGGGCTCTATTGATGTCTCTATTAGTTTTATTGGTTGTTGGTTGGATGCACTTTTTTGGACTTCCAGATTTTTTCAAGTAAACACTATTTTCATTTTGTGTGACACTATTTAAGACTGTCATAAAAAAAGAGCTGAGAGAGAGTTTTAGCCTTGTACTGAAGAAAATTAAATATATTATTAGATATTCTCTAATTAAATCATTTTACTCACAAGGGAAATACAAGATCTACTATTAAGAAATTTATCATATTGCTGCATTAATATACAATTATGGCCCGTTGAAAAGGTGAATATCCAAAATTGTCAACACGAGAAGGTTATTTTACTGAGGGCGCAGCCCGAAGTGAAATAACTTTTAAGGGTTGACAATTTTGGATATTCATCGCTTCTAAGGGGCCACAATTGTTTTATTATACCGAACTAACAGTGGAAGGGCATTTTGAATCATTGTAAAAGCACTTACCCTTACTTGAGTCAGTAACAAACACAAGTTGACGTTCAAAAATACATGTAATTTGTGTCTTAGAATTCTCGTATGTACAACAAAGGTAGATTCTTTTTGTAAAATATTGATGGCTCTGAAAAGAACCGTTATTAGAGATATCATCGGCACAAGATGCACGTCAAAAGCCTTATTTCCTCTTCTCTCGATCAATGGGCTTCCTGTAACTTGAACGTTGCCATTTTGTTTATTTACGTCTGTGACATCATTTTCATGAGTACAAATCAACAAACTAAAAAGGTTATTCGCCGGTGAATAATAGGGTTATTCAACGCTGGTGTACATTTTTAGGGTTATTCGTTCTTCCTTGCAATTGAATGAAAATTAACTGAATTATTCCATGTCACGTGATAACGTTTTACCCAATAGAATTGTTTGAAATATATGTAAGGTATAATAATATACAATTATGGCCCGTAGAAAAGGTGAATATCGAAAATTGTCAACACAAAAAGGTTGTTTTACTTACCTAATACTATATCGTAACAAACACAAGTTAAAGTTTGAAAATGAATTTATGTCTTAAAATTTTTCGTATGTACAACAAAGGTAGAATCTTTTTGTAAAATATTAATGGCCCTGAAAAGGACCGTTTATAGGAGATATCCTCAGCACTAGATGCATTTGCAAAGCCTTGTTTCCTTGTCACTTGATGGGCTTCCTGTAACGTGAACGTTGCCATTTTGCTTACTTACGTCTATGACATCATTTTTATGGGAGATAACTCATGTACAAATCAAGAAACTAAATAGGTTATTCACCACTGGTGTAAATTTTTAGGGTTATTCCTACTTCCTTGCAATTCAATGAAAATTAACTGAATTATTCCATGTCATGTGATAACGTGTTACCCAATAGAATTATTTATAATACATGTAAGGTATAATAAGAATATTTATTATATACTTAGTAGTAAATACAGATAAATTGTATATGTAATACAATCATTGGCAAGCGTGCTAAATCAGCCACCTGTGATGATATCGATATCAACAAGGTTGCGTAGGCTTTATCACACCTTTAATCTGTATGACGTCACGTCACCAATTGCAGTCACTGTTGCAAAGGCTTTATCAAACCCCTAATCTGTATGACATCATGTCAAACCTATAATCTGTATGACGTCATTTCAAACCTCCTTATCTGTATGACGTCATGTCACATAAAAAACATCTACGTGAGGTATATATATATATATAATAAAGTGTATATGATATGGCTTTAATTTTCAATATCACACACCGTATCAACCCTCGACCAATATAATCCCTCTAATCCCTCGAGCAGAGCTCTTGGGATTATATTGGTGTCTCGGATTGATACAGATGTGATATTGATAAAGCCATATGATATTCTCTATTTATTTTACAATGCAGCAAAATTTGACAAAAAAAACCACTGGTAAATACTTACAATAAAAGATAATAATTCTTAATCTCAATATATCTTCAACCAAATTGATAGATTGGTGATTGCTTTACACCGCCTCAGCAAAAAAAGGCTGATATAGTGGCGAGTCTTCAACCAAATCAAACTACTCTATTTTGTTCTAATATAACATCATGACCTAATAAATCTGCTTAAAAAAATTCAACAAATATAAATTGTTTGATATGTTTCATCACCATGGCAATCTTGTTTCTATGATTCTGAATGTTTGAGGAACTCCATTTCTGATGCCAACACCTTGGTAACCTGCATACATTTGGCGGCATGGTCGCCGCCCATTCTCTTCAAAGCAACTTCTGCTGCTTCTCTCACATGCTTTATAGGGTCATTCCTCCTGTTAAAATTATAAATATTCTGTTATTAATAAATTTGTTTCAACAATAATAAGCAACAAGTAGAAAATTGTATGATAAAGGCTTGAGACTTGTTGCTTGTTTTATGATATTATATAAATTGAAAATGTACAAACTAAAGATAAAACAAAAAATTTGCAATCAATTTCTTAGAAAAATATTTGCTTAGGAACTTTTTATATATAGTTGAAATATATCTAAATTACACATTTAGCAAATTTTATTCTAGGGGAGATAACCATTACACAAATTCAAGTGGAGATAATTAAACTAGATATAACTTTAGGTGTAATACCACCAAATCATAGTACGTCACATCCGGTTGCATACGAAAATAGGTCGAAAAAAAATATTCCCTTGAATTTGACAGTTGTAGGTAATTGATCCTACATTTCATTGCAGTAAAACATTTCTGAGTCATAAACATATATCTTGGGTATTTCAAAGCACCATTATTTCTTTATTTGGGGTTTCAATAGAATATTTTGGAAACTTGAGGTTACATGGTTACTAAAGCTTGTACACAGGTTAAAAAAGGGGGAAAATTTGATTGGTTAACTTCCAGTGATGGTTATTTTCTTATATGCAATGAAATGTTATGTGAAATTTTTTCTATAGTACTGGACAGGATAAAACTTTACTCATGCCAAGTATTTCTTTATTTGAAACAAAGATAAATTCTGCACAATTTTTTGAAAAGTGCAAATTTAACAATGACTAATAGGGGAAAATCAATGGTGGTATTACACCTAATATGGGAAGCTGTACATGCACCTTTGACCTTGTGAGTACTCTCATGTGTTAAAATTTCTTGCTATTTAAGTGAAATATTACAAATAATGAAATATTCTGAGTGGATTGAGTCTCCAAAATACATTTTATGAGAAAATTTCCTTGAAATAGGACTTTACCATGAATATTAGTTGACAGAACAAGCCATACTTAGAGTCTTGGGGAGCTTTTTCTCCTTATTTCTTATATTCTGCTATACTAGAAAATTTTTCCTAAGAAATACTTTAATAAATATATAGTTTCAAGTAAATGAAATTATTTTTAAAGCAGTAACAACAAATTATTCACCAAAAGAGAAGTTTTTTATGTCCCTCTCTGGAACGCGGCGTAAATTTAAGTTTTACGCAAGGACTTATTGAAACCTCCTTGGAGACAGTAAACTTTTATACGGATAGTTCAAGCAGCTTGAATACTTCAATTAATCATTTATAATAACATTCCTATCATAAATGAGTGAAAGTTACCCCAAAATGTTTATTTATTGGCTTAAAAAGTAGAAATTTTGAGGAAATGAGAGGTATAAATGGACCAAAAGAGACTTTATAAGGAAGAATAAGAGGTCCATTAGTAGTATTTATCATCCTAAAGTCATCTTTTGTATCATATTCAACTGTTTGTAGGCAGATGAGATAAATATTTGATCATTTATTGGTCCACACTATATTCTATCATGATGCGGCTTGGTTTGAATTTTTCGAAGAAATTTTGCTCGAATCGCTGTAGATGTCGTCTTACATTATACTAGATTTTTCTCAAACTATTGAACTGATTATGACAAAACTTGACAGGAATGCTTGAAATAACCAGTATTACAAAGGAAAAAAGTCACATTCAGTTTATTCAACAAAAAAGTCTTCTTTAGGTGTAATACCACCAAATCATAGTACGTCACATCCGGTTGCATACGAAAATAGGTCGAAAAAAAATATTCCCTTGAATTTGACAGTTGTAGGTAATTGATCCTACATTTCATTGCAGTAAAACATTTCTGAGTCATAAACATATATCTTGGGTATTTCAAAGCACCATTATTTCTTTATTTGGGGTTTCAATAGAATATTTTGGAAACTTGAGGTTACATGGTTACTAAAGCTTGTACACAGGTTAAAAAAGGGGGAAAATTTGATTGGTTAACTTCCAGTGATGGTTATTTTCTTATATGCAATGAAATGTTATGTGAAATTTTTTCTATAGTACTGGACAGGATAAAACTTTACTCATGCCAAGTATTTCTTTATTTGAAACAAAGATAAATTCTGCACAATTTTTTGAAAAGTGCAAATTTAACAATGACTAATAGGGGAAAATCAATGGTGGTATTACACCTGCAAACCAAAATTTACAATACTTTTGAAATGGCATGAAAACAATAAAATACACCTGTTTTCTTACCCCCCCCCCCCCCTCTTGTCCCCTTTAATATGTTATCAATTTTGGAAGATTTTTTCAGGTCAAAAAATTATTTTTACCTCATATAATCTATGCTTAATTATATAATTGTTATAAAACCTTAATTTCTCAATATAAGGAGAGTGATTATTCTTAACCATGCTTTAAATATGTGTAAAAATAAAGAAGAAATGTGGTATGATTGCCAATGAGACAGCTCTTCATCAGAGAACAAATGACATGGATGTAAGCAACTATACGTCACATTGAAACTCTCTTTTATGAAATTTAATAAGACTCTTTTAAGTTTGTTCATTCATATTCCGTGAAAAAGTAAAACTGAATAATCATTTGAAGAGAAACCTAAACAGAGTTTTCAAGTTTAATGATGTATTAATTTTTTTTAATTTGACTCATATTTATTTAAAAAAAAAAAACACAAAACACTCGTACTATACAAAGCCATCAACTTTTTTCTTTTTGTCACAAATTTTTCCTTCGAAATAAGGGCTGTTTCAAAATTTATTGTGTGGGAGATGGAAGGCATTCAAATTAATTAAATATGGGTGGTTCCATTTTCCTTAAACTTTTGTAGGAGTTATTAGAAAAATGATTTTTTTTTAATTTTATAAGTGGCCAGGGTCTCAAAAAAGGTGCCTCACATGACCCTTATATTTTTTATTCTGGAACAGCCCTAAGTTAAACCATAAACAATGCATATTGACTACAGAAAGAAATAGACAAAAAAACAAACGGTAGATTTTTATTTTATATATAAAATTAAGACAAGGTGTAAAATAATTTCAAAACAGATGATTTTTTTAGACAAATAACTGATTCATCAGACACTGTTGACCCTTAGGAGCACCTGATTTCATACCAGGTTTTCAAAAGGGTTTATGCTGCTCAATGCTTCCTTTTCTGTGTATTGTTGTGTGGACTTTTTCTTTCTCTAGGCCATGGTTCTATTTTTTTTTTTACCTCATGGTTTTTAATTGCTCCCTAAGCATCTTTCTTATTTTTTTCACAACAAAATAAAATCAGACCAAAAAAATTTAGATCCAGTATTAATCAGTAATTCCAATTTTGTATGTAAAGACAAATTTCATTGGTGAGTGCCATGTTAACCATAACTTATACAACAAGGACAATCATACCCAGACATGCAAATAAATAAATAAAGTCATTGAGCAGGGTTAAAGTAGCACTCAATCCTCCTTTTATCTTCTTTTTTGGAAGAAAAAAAAGGTTCATACATTTTGTACTATGATCTGAGACAGAAACACAAGGCTACAAAAATCAAAAGACATGTACAAGTCAACATAGTACTGTGGATTCATTATTATTCGTTGGATACCAATTTTCGTGGGTTTCGTGGGTACAGGTCAACCACTTTTTTCTATAAAGGAAATAAGAGTCAGGGACATGAAAACATCTCAAAAAGGCTTGGTACTATAATAGATAACTTTTCAATTGACTCAATTTGAGCAAGAGTTACTTCCCATTTGTTGCCATGTTGGAAGTTTGCACACATGCCTTATTAAATCAGTCAAATTCAACTTCTTATACTGACCACTAGACTTTAAAAAAAATGGCTTTCTAAACAATTTTAATTTCTTTGAGCCTTGCTTAATTCATCACTATGATCTAGTAAGGATATCTTAACACTCATACTACATCATCTCCAAACCTATCTTTATCGTGAAATTTAATCTACACAAAAATAAACCACTTCACAGGATCTCCAACAATCGAGTATGTCTGAGTATACAATGTGTCCGACTTAAACTTGACCTTGTTATAGAAAAGTGCTTAACGTATATATGCATTTAGATGTCAATTAAAAAAATTAAATTAAATTAAAATTTATCCCACCATTTATCAGCCACTACTTCTTCAGCTTTTGTTCCAGGTTTGAGGAATCCCAAAGCAAGGCAGGCACTCTCCCTCACGAGTCTGTCCTCGTCATCTAACATACCCATTATACGGTCAACAGTAGCTTTCTTGTTTTTTGCTATAATAATAGATGGTCAAATTTATATATTTGCAATACAAGCACAACCAAAGTTAAAGAAGTTGATAACATTTAAATAAAAACTATAATTGGAGACTTATAGCATACAATGTGGCTTAAAAAGAGAAAAATTTCACAGCAGTACACATACATGTACGATTAAGGATTATTCTTTCTAACATTTTCATTTTTTTTATTCATATGTCTTTAAGGTCCTATATCATTAATAACAAGATTCTCTCCTATAAATGAAAATTACTCCATGTCTATCTGTATATAATGTGTATATTTAGAAATAGTACTATGAAACTGAAAGTAGATCTTAAATTTTCAGTGTCAAAATAAGCTTATATGAGCTTTGAGATGAAGAACAGCAATAAAAGCGCTGTTTCTTTGCTTTTTGTGTTTTTTTCTGTGCATGTACAGATTTTGTGTCATGGACTGATACCCCATATCCTTTCTTTTCTATTATGAATCTTATTGCATAGTTTGTCCAATTTTCTTTTTCGCCACTTTCAATTTTTTTCGCCAACTAACGTAATCATATTTTTGTTTGAAATATTCCGTCTTTTCTAAAAAAAAATTCAGTTTGCCACATTGTTGTCCAAGATAATTCTTCAAATCTTTTTTTAATCTACATTGTAATAAATAAACACTAAACATTTACACTTGGAAAGATACTGTAAAATTTTACAATATAGATCATTAAATCGTCATTTTTGACTTCTGGGAACACAGGATTCATCTACAATAGGTTTATCGGATACTTCCCGTCTAGTTGAAGGATAAAGACTAAAGTCAAAGATTTTTCTTACTTTTGAATATATTTCTTCATAACAACAGTTTTCTTTTCCAGACCATCGCAAAAAGAAAAAGTCGAGACGTAAAACTATTTTTCAAACACGTGCGTCGCCAAAACAAATCAATTAATTCTATCAAAGTTAAGGATAAAAGTTAAAGTCAGAGATTTTTCTTGCTTTTAAACATTTTTCGTCATAACAATAGTTTGGGTTTTTCGGACCATCGCTAAAAGAAAAAAACGAAACGTAAAACTATGCTTCAAACACGTGCATCGATTGTGAAGTAACCACTTCAAAACAATTATTTCTATCAAAGTTGTAAATAAATCCTTTATGTCATAATGTGACATGTGACGCCGTTTAAAAACACCATTTCATTAAACAATACAATCAACACCTTTATTAATTGGTCATATATCTATAAAATGAAATCTGACAGCCGATTATTGATTTTCTGGAAACCCTGTATTACTGTATCTTATTTCTGAGGGTATTGCCAAACCCTGGAAAACTAAATACACACAAGACAAGCGTGTATACCATGTGTCAACATCTAACTTAGATAAGTTGTGATAAAATCTATATTTTCTGCCATCAAAAATCATTTCCATAAAATCAAAGATATAACAGTATACTAAAGCTTAAGACAACCACTGCAAGAATCATGACTTGGGACAAGCACATGTCAATTCTTCCTAAATGATAAAGAAAAATTATTTCTGCAATACTGTGGAACCAATACTGTAAACCAACTAATTTTCGCGAGCGATTTATTTTCACGAATTTCGCGAGTAGAAAAATAACACCAATTTAACGTGAATATGTAAAACGTGGATCTTTCCTTATTTAAGTATATCAATCAAATTTGAAAATCGTGAAATTAAATCGCCGCGAAATGGGCTTGAAGGGCTAAATGCGAAATAAAGTATCCGCGAAAATAAATTGGCTTACAGGTTTTTTTTTTGTATTTTTGATGAATAACAATTTTCAGGGATTTAGTTGGTATATGGGAACCACAAATTAAATGATCAACAAATTACAATGTTATAAAGGAATATATGCAGACTTTGGCAAAACCACAAAATCATATATCTACAAAAATGCAAGTTTTCCTCAATCCACAAACATTGGTATGCATGAACATAAAAGAATCAACATTTCTACACTACCGTGTTTACCTGATTTAGCCAAAGCAATGGTTGCCACAGCCCTGATATTTGGATCAGCATCTTTTAACATCTTTGATAAACCTTGCACAACAGCGGGAAATGAGAAATTTCCTGAAAAATAAAAAAGTTAAAATAAAACCAATTTGAAAAATGAAACAGAACAAAAAGCATCGAAAAATGTATTGTACAGTAAATTAAGAAAGTTTAACGATGTTTTTATTGGTGCAAAAATTGCTACAGAATAGGTTTCACAAAAATAAAAACTGTCTTTAAAGTTTTGATATCATTATTAATCTAGAAGCAGCATTTCTTTGAGTCACACAATAATAAATCTCATAATTTTTCCATTGTTCAACAATCGCAAAAATGATTTCACACAAAAATTTCTGAATGTACAGTACCTTGTACCAACAATTTCTGAATGTACAGTACCTTGTACCAACAACTTCTGAATGTACAGTACCTTGTACCAACAATTTCTGTATGTACAGTACCTTGTACCAACAATTACTGAATGTACAGTACCTTGTACCAACAATTTCTGTATGTACAGTACCTTGTACCAACAATTTCTGAATGTACAGTACCTTGTACCAACAATTTCTGTATGTACAGTACCTTGTACCAACAATTTCTAAATGTACAGTACCTTGTACCAACAATTTCTGAATGTACAGTACCTTGTACCAACAATTTCTGAATGTACAGTACCTTGTACCAACAATTTCAAAAATATTCAATACTAAGGTTGTTAAATTCTGAATATTTTATTTGAGGTAAATCATAGATTTTTAAAAATATGAATATAAAATACAGTAATAGCTTTCTAAACTTTACAGTCTACAAAAGAATGGTCATAACTTCCTTGTCTTAATTCACACATAAATCACTTGAAAATAAAAGGAAACTTAGAGTTATCTCCCTTTTTAAATCAAATTCATGGAGGTATTCTTTTTTATTCAAATGATTTATTTCAAAAGCATGCTGGGTTTTTTTATCAATTCTAGAAATAAAATAATTGAATTAAAAGTCTCAATATTCAGCTGGTACCAGGTAATATATTAACGTACATTTTTCTTATTATTTACTAGATATTTTACAGTTTCTGAAAAACATTTCTTTAAAAACAATATAAGGAGATGCGGTAACTATCCAAAAGACACCAAATGACATGGAGAAGAGCAGCCATTCGTTGAAATCCCAATAATTAATCTCACATTTTTTGCCATGATTCCACAATAATTTAATTTTGGATGTAACACGTCTTCTGATTGGCTGACAGTGTTTTGTCTATTAGCTCATAGACGTAATTTTGTCATGTGACCGTGACGTCATCAACGTTTTTATCATGATTTACTCCTTTTTAGAATTAAATTATAAGGAATGACTGTAATATTTTTTCTGTCTATTCGAAATAACCTAAAAAATGTGGTGCACACTTTTAAAGTTATTCAGTGTACACCACATTTTTGATGTTATTTCTTCATAGACAGAAAAAATATTACAGTCATTCCTTAAATAGAGGTATGATAGAAGTCATCATTTGGCCCCTTTCAAAAGTTTCAAAAATTTTACAGATAAATGAAAAAGTTGCTTTAATCTGGAAGATTTAGTGCAAAAAGGTCACTTGTGATGTCAAGATGACAGCATAAACATTTGAAATTTCTGTATTTGACCTAAAATGGCCATATCAGAAACACTTTTTGGTTAATATAAATATATGAGCAAGAGCTTTATCACAACAAATCTTTTACATACATTAACATCTTTGTAAAATACGAAGCAAAATATATTTTTGGGGTAAAGCTCTTGATAATGTCTAAATATGAATGACAAGATCTTAAAATGAGTTTATTTTTGTAGGCATACTTTGCTGTTTTGCACTAAATATAAGAAGCCCTAATGCCAATACGATAGTTGACAGACTAATGTCTTATCAACATCTGAAAGATGTTATTTGGAAGATTTATCCTACTTTTATATGTTTAAATTCCAGGGGCCAAAAAAGTGGCTTGATCATACCTTTTCTGTTATAATTTAGCAAAGTATGAAGAAATTTTAATATTATCTAGATGCCCATGTAATTTTTTAATTAACACAAAAGATTTACCAAGATTTTGTATAGTTGTGAGTCGTAGTGAACTTGACATATTGAATACTTCAACCATGGCATGGTATCCTGTGGCATATGCTTGGAGACGATTGTAAAATCTATGCATATCGGCATCTGGGTTTCCTTCGCAGAAAGCGTCATATTGACTCTTTTTCACTGTTTTTTGCAAATCAAATATATCTTTGTAAATCAAATTAACAAAAAACTTAAATCGATCCTCAGAGTATTGTTTTACAATTTTGTCATGGTAGTCCATTTCAAATTTTTTTTTGAATTCCACCCATGGAACCTCACTTTTATTGTCGAAATTCCTGTCCCAGAAATCGTACTTCAGTCCTGTTTGTCTAGTTTGAAGCGGTCTGATTGGTCTGCGATGTTCCGTCATGCCCTCATCATCTTCCCCACCCATATCATCCTCATCGTAATTATTCTCATCAGTTGTATCGAAATTTATACTGACGTTCATTCCATGAAAATTAATATCACCCGATTCAGAAACATATTGCGGGTCAAGTTGTGGCTGCAGATTTGACATATTATCGGACATTGAAGCTAGCAAACTCTGCAAGCTGGTTTCATATATTTCAGGCTTGAAGAAAAATGTCCAATTAATCCTGGCGAGCATAAGCTTCCTGTAAAATTACAAAATATTGGTTAAAGAAAAACTATTTCATTTATTGATTGATTTCTGTTTGCTCATCCTCGAGTGCTATATGTAGGTTATCTTAATTGTAATATATATGTTTTGTCATGGATTCATTATTATTAGTGCGGTATCAATTCTTGTGGACTTCGTGATTAGAGGAACACCACGAATTCAAATGTTCAATGAAGTATCAATTTTCTATAGGCTTATATGAGGGTGTGGATGGGGGTCCTTCATTTCTATATTTTTTAATTTCTAGCCCATTTTTCTCTATTCTTTATATTTTAGGCCCATTATTCTCTAATTTTATATACTAGAACCCCATTATTCTCTATTCTTTATTTTTTTTATCCATTTTCCCCTATTCTTTATTTGTTTGGCCCTTTATCCTGCACTTTTTGCCCTTAATTCTCTATTCTGTAAACCCCATCTAGACCCTCTCATATAAAATCATTGGAAAACCCAAAAACTTAAATATCCACGAATATACAATTTTCCTCAATCCATTGAAAATTAGTAACCATGTAAATAAATGAATCCACAGCATACTGATTGTCTTGATTGTAGCGTGCATGAAATGTTTTTAAAAGAAACTTGACCAGGTAGGATGAAGGCTAAATGTCTTAGCATAAGTGGTCAAAGTAAACTAACTGAATGACCAATTGATAATAATAATATACAAGAGTGCACACGCTGAAATGTCTCGCCTTCTTTACTAATCATTGATATTATGTTGATAGTCCTAAATATAAAGCTTTATTACAACTGTCACATAAACTTAACATTAACCAAGTAAACTAAACATTGACCAATGAACCATGAAAATGAGGTCAAGGTCAGATGAACCATGCTAGGCAGGCATGTACAGCTAACAATTCTTCCATACAACAAATAGAGTTGACCTATTGCTTATAGTTTAAGAAAAACAGACCAAAACACAAAAACTTAACACTGAGCAATGAACCTTGAAAATGAGGTCAAGATCAAATAAAACCTGTGCGTGACTGCCAAATAGATCATAAAATATTTCCATACACCAAATATAGTTGAACTATTGCATACAGTATAAGAAAAACAGACCAAAACACAAAAACTTAACTATAACCACTGAACCATGAAAATGAGGTCAAGGTCAGATGACACCTGCCAGTTGGACATGTACACCTTACAGTCCTTCCATACACCGAATATACTAGACCTATTGCTTATAGTATCTGAGATATGGACTTGACCACCAAAACTTAACCTTGTTCATTGATCCATGAAATGAGGTCGAGGTCAAGTGAAAACTGTCTGACGGGCATGAGGACCTTGCAAGGTACGCACATACCAAATAAAGTTGAACTATTGCACATAGTATTAGAAAAAAAGACCAAAACTCAAAAACTTAACTTTGACCACTGAACCATGAAAATGAGGTCAAGGTCAAATGACACCTGCCCGCTAGACATGTACACCTTACAATCATTCCATACACCAAATATAGTAGACCTATGGCATACAGTATAAGAAAAACAGACCAAAACACAAAAACTTAACTATAACCACTGAACCATGAAAATGAGGTCAAGGTCAGATGACACCTGCCAGTTGGACATGTACACCTTACAGTCCTTCCATACATAGAATATACTAGACCTATTGCTTATAGTATCTGAGATATGGACTTGACCACCAAAACTTAACCTTGTTCACTGATCCATGAAATGAGGTCGAGGTCAAGTGAAAACTGTCTGACGGGCATGAGGACCTTGCAAGGTACGCACATACCAAATATAGTTATCCTATTACTTATAATAAGAGAGAATCTTACATTACAAAAAATCTTAACTTTTTTTTCAAGTAGTCACTGAACCATGAAAATGAGGTCAAGGACATTGGACATGTGACTGATGGAAACTTCGTAACATGAGGCATCCATATACAAAGTATGAAGCATCCAGGTCTTCCACCCTCTAAAATATAAAGCTTTTAAGAAGTTAGCTAACGCCGCCGCCGCCGCCGGATCACTATCCCTATGTCGAGCTTTCTGCGACAAAAGTCGCAGGCTCGACAAAAACTAAGGGTATGATGAAGTATGATAGCCAATGAGAGAACTATCGTTAAAGACCTAGGGACAACAATCTGTATGTCTTTTATTTATTGTTGTTGGTTTGCTGTATTATTGACCTATATCCTGCATCCCCTTTAATTCATCTGTATTTCTATGACCTTTAACATTTTGTAGAATGTGAAACAATTTTGGCAAATGATGCATGACCTTTCAAAAATCAAAATAAAAGTGCTTAACAAAGATAAGCATCATGAGCATAAGAAATGTAAAGAATCCTGCAGTACAAACATGGTGTACTGTGGAATAATTTATTTTCATGGGTAGCAATTTTTGTGAATAAAGAAAAAATTGTATTTTTATAGATATTTGATTTCGTGGTTTTGCCAAAATCTGCATATATGCCTATATAACCTTTATTCTTCTTTCCCACAAATAATAATGAATCCACAGTATCGGTAAAAAATCACTCTTGCTAATTTTGGGTGTATAACTGTGAAACAGAGAGAATCCTAGTGATTTTAGGGGAGATAATCTGATGTTCACTTCTATTGTATACTGTAAATTCAGAAATTATTGCGTGCATTTATTATTGCGAATTTTTTAAAAAAGGACAAAAATGCGAGATTAATTATTGCGATTGTCGGAAAATCTGCATACAGATATATTATCAAACATCAGAATGCGAGTTCTTATTATTGCTATACTCACCCAGTTGCATTATTCGCAATAATAAAAACCTCGCAATAATTTCTGAATTTACAGTACTATGGAATACAGTGGATTCATTAATTTTTGTTAGTACCAATTTTCGTGGATTGAGAAAAAAGTTATATTCCAGGATTTTTTATTTCCTGGTTTTGCCAAAGTATGCATACAAGCTTATTATAAAAAAAAAATTATTCATTGAACATTTAAATTCATGGTTCACCTATCTTATCCACAAAATCCATGAATTCAAATTGGTATAGCTAGAATTATAATAAATTCACAGTATGCAAAAAGATATTTCTGATTGAATCAACCCCAACCACCAGTGTTCACTGTGAAAAATCACCACAAAGAGTTGCTTTTTAATCTGAACCACCTTTTTGTGTTCTGTATTTATATACTGATTGATTGATGTGTAACAACACTTTCAGCACTATTGGCTATTTCTTGGCAGTCAGTTTTTATTGGTGGAGGAAGCTGGAGTGCCCGGAGAGAACCATGACCTTTGGCAAGAAAACTGACGATCCTAGTCAATCAAGATTGGAGTACCGCCACATGAGGGGTTCAAACTCACAACCTCAGTGTTGACATGCAAGTGATACAGTAGTTGGACTACTTAGATCACTCGGTCACAAAGCCCCACCCCCACTGTATTATATATGAACCTTCTTTAAAATAATAATAAACATACTAATGTCATTAAAATACTGATCCTGTGTTCTAGTCTTGCTCACAAGGATCTGACAACGCACTGTTCTACTTTCTGTTTTAAAGACCGTTCTGGATCCTCCAGTTTTGTCTCATTAATGCCCACCTTCAACATGTTCAAAAGTTTGAAGGCTGACATTTCATTTGCTGATGTAATAATTAACAGAACAGAAAGAAAAACGGAGTGTTGTTAGATCCTTGTAAGAAAAGTTCCAAGACAGGATATGTATTTTAATCAGATTGTAAACATACATTCCTCCTTCCAGTAAAGGGCTGATATCTCTGAACTTCTCTAGACTGACAGGATATATTGTAGAATAAGAGATGTAGGCCAAAGCAAGCTCGTCCGCAAACTGTGAATCCTTGCAGGAATCCTTGCTTATTATCATTACAAACATCTAAAATAGTTCAAAATCCAAAATTACTCAAAATGTCTCACTAGTAAATGAAATTAATTTTAAACAGTCATTTTGATATTTGCATCATCTGAAAAGTATGAAGAATAAATTATTCAGTCATGTTAAGTCTTTCAGTAAATTTTCAGATTTATCAACTGCGCAAAATCCAGCTCTGTTGACGAGTACGACAATTTGTATAAAAAAGAAGATGTGGTATGAGTGCCAATGAGACAACTCTCCACAAGAGACTTAGTAAAATTAAGTATCATTTTTATCTGTACAGGTAAATAACAAGTACTGAACAGATCTTAATTGACTGCAAGCGAATTGTCTGAATAGTACTGAATTTCCTGCAATGGGATAGGGAAAACTGAAAACTGACTGAAAAATTAAAAATGACTTAAATAATTTATTGTTCAGTCTTTTAAGATCTGTTCAGATCAAAAACAGTTTCAGACCTAATTCATTTACTAGAGGCTGGAAATACATGTAAACAAGAGGGGAAAAAGAGAGGTTGAAGATACCAAAGCCAAAGGGATATTCTAAGTTTCAAACACATAAGTCGATGACAAACAAAAAAATGACCATATTTGTAGTACCCAGTCACCCTTGGGGGGTAAACTCATACCTCATATATATATACACACAATAAGCATTAAAATGCCAGGCATGACAAAATGTTAAACAAGTCATAAAATAAAAATCAACAGCCTGAGTAACGTCCTTGTCTCTTTTGTATATTCCAAGTGGTCAAGTTTATGTCGTCCATTTAAAAGTTTACAGACACTTTCTGTTTTGCTATATAGTTTTATCAGTTTATCTAGATCTTAACTGCAGAGTTTGGTATGTCCCTTGGTATCCTCTGCCTCTTTTTTACATCATTTTTCTCTTTTCAGAACTATGTAAACCCCATCCAGACCCTCATACTAGAACCTAACAATTGTGTATTCCTTAAGTGAAGAGCTTTCTACTGACATGTATAACTTACAATAATTACTTTGATAAATTATTACTTAGAACTAATGACATTTTTTTACATAAGATTTAGACTCTTTCTTTCTATTTTGTCTTACAAATACTTTTTACCTTACAACTGAGGATTGCCTCCCCTTTCTTGCTAAGTGCTTCTACAGGATCAATTTCTGGTCTTGTGTACCACACTGTCCAACCCTGCTCTTCTATTTTCTCTAAATGAAAAATATATCGGTATGTAACAATGAACACAAAATTGAATAAAATAGCCAGTTTTGAAAGACTAAATATGACAAAATACATTTATACATAGTATATTTGGCACCAGCCTACTCAAGTCTTCATTAAAAGTATTAATCCCTATATTAAATGTGTCATAACCTTGTTAGGGGGAGAGATGAGAACTCACAAACATGTTTAAACCCACCTAATTCTTTATATGCCTGCTTCAAGTCATGAGCCACAATATTTAGTGGTTTTTGTTGGTTCATGTCTGTCATATTTGTTTTTCATAAACTGTTTTGTTATACATTAGGCTGTTAGTTTTCTGGTATGAATTGTTTCCCATTTTCATGTAGGGCTTTTTATTGCTGACTATACAGTATGAATTTTATTCTCATTGTTGAAGGCCGTATGGTGGCCTACATTTGCTTACATCCACTTCATTTAAACTCTGGTGGATAGTTGTCTCATTGGCAATCATACCACATCTCCTTATAGAACAATCCATGAAGGTTTACAAGTTTACCATGTCAAGGAAATTTCACTTGTACTGTCTGTAAACGCTAACTGCAAAAAAACTAAGTCATAAAATACTGAAAAAAATTTAAAAACTTTTTTTTTTAATTTTGCTTAATCATAACAGGCTTCTGTCAAAGTTTCATAATAAAGTTCTATAAAGGTTTGACAAAATAATTAATGTCTAAAACCACAGACTGAAGATAAATATTGACTCCGCGGACAGCATGTAGGATTGCTGTCTTGCTTCTGCCACAAAATGTTGCAGGCTCGACAAAAATAAATTGATTAACATTGAGACCAGTTATATGTTGCAATTTGAACAATAACTGAGAGGGCAGGGCCAAATAATCTACACGGAAATGAGATGTGCCAAGACTGATTCAAGTGTATATCAAATAGCATTGACCAACAACTAGTGGTTCCCCTTAAACTAAACTAATCACAAACTTTAACAAATTGTTGATGCTGCCGCCAAAACAATATACTTAAGTCCATTTGAAGTCTCGCTTTTGGACTTTGTCAAGGTGAGAAAAAAATAATAATACCTGCAATTTTCTGTGTAAATTTCAAATCTTTTGAATTAAAACTGATCATAACATCACACTGAATCTTTGACGGTAGATTGGACGCCATGTTTACGAGACTCTGGTCTAAGGCTGAGTGACTTTATACTTCCTGTTTTCCTGTGTTCCTCATTGTCATTAATATAGGTGATACTTGTTGGCTCTATAACTGTAAAATAAAAAAAAAGGAAAATTTATAACAGCGGCTACATTTTTTCTTTTCAGTAAATTTTCTTGATCAAGGGTATCATTCAACCTTTGTAATGTTAATTATTGGAATTTAAAGACAAAAGTTGCAATTGTATGTGCAATTTAATCAATTAGTTAAGAGCAGACTTAACATGCTTAAGTAGTATCAATAGCAAGAATAGATTGTTACTATGAATGTTATGCTGTAAAACCTGGTTTAACCTGCCACTTTAATTTATTTGTCCAATTGGGACCATAATGACTAATTGTTGCATCAATCATTAGGAAAGATTTTTTCTTAAGTTTGCCAGTATAGACTGGAAATTACTTTTTTTTTTATCGTACTTGATATTTGAGATTGTTTAATATAGACCGTAATTCAAACAAGTTCCCGTAAAATTTGACATCACAATTAAAAACATTTGACGTCACAATTAAAAAGTGATTGTTGCTTGACGTCAGAAGGTTATTCTGAGCAGATCTAAGGTCACTCGGAGACAAAATTCAGCTAATACCAAAAGTGTAAATATGTTTATTCATTCCCTAGATTAATATGGGATGTCAAATAGATGATTAGCAAGCATCAACAATTGCAACTGCAACATTACTATTTAATCAAATTACAACTGCAATTTTTGTCTTAACTAATTAATTAATTACCATCACTTTAATCAAAAGTAATTAATTAAAGTGCATATTATAATAAGTTTCACCATCATATTTCATGATAAGAATTCATACAACTATTGAATATGTGAAAGCAGATTGATAAAAAATTTTCATTTTCAATCCTTATTTCCAGAAATGTGGTGCTATTGCCTTAAATCAAGGAAATAATATTTATACAATATCTTTAAAGGGGCATTATCTGTCAAATTCATGTTCACCGATTTGACTCAAATTCTCATATTTGATTTATCTAAGGAATGACTGTAATATTTTTTCTGTCTATAAAGAAATAACATCAAAAATATGGTGCACACTGAATAACCCGCGTAGCGAGTTATTTTAAAGTGTGCACCACATTTTTTATGTTATTTCGAATAGACAGAAAAAATATTACAGTCATTTCTTATAATTTAATTCTAAATTCCATTTTAAACCGGAGTAAACCATTAAAAAACGTTGATGACGTTACGGTCACATGACAAAATTATGTCTATGAGCTGATAAACAAAACAACGTCAGCCAATCAGAAGATGCGTTACATCCAAAATTAAATTATAACATATTAAAACGTATATCCAAGTTATAAAAAGTCTAAAAAAACCAATTTACAATGCATAATAATTTGGATCGATAATATGCATCAGCATTTCGAGTGTATTTTAGTCTAGATGCCATCTAATTAACCATTGAGTTGACCTTCGAAGACTGCCGACGGTCATATAATCAAATGTAAACATAAATATAGATATAAATAGATAGCGAACTCGTGCAATTGGATTTTTCTAGGTCTGTTTGATTTCATATTATAGGTTACAAATATATATTAATCATCATGTTTACCTGTATAAGAATGAGTTTTTGTGGATCGAATCAGTCAATCAAATGGTTTACCCTTGTTTCACTTTCAATGTTGACATTCTTTTCCTTTTAATAACTGAACACGCCCAATTAATGTGTAACCCAACTCTAGCTAACGGGTTAAATTGAAGGTCACATGAATACGGATTCAATGAGGTCAAATTATTCACTTGCAAGTGAATAATTCATCAGCGATGTTTCTTTGCTTATTTTGACAAAATTGAATCAAACTGGCTGCTAAAAACGAATTATCATTTCACTATTTCACTTTCATTAAAGATTGAACAAAAAAAAATCATATCTTATTTTTTCTATATCTCATAGCTAATGCCCCTTTAAAGCAACCACTACTGGACAGGCATATGTTCTAATAAATTAAACAACACTAAAGACAACAACTTTAATGTCCTTTAATGAAGTTTTATCTATTACCTTGGTGAAAGAAAAAACAGTGAATACCTTTAGTTATCCACACTCAATTTACCCTACCACAGGATCACTACTTCAGGTGTTGGTTCACCAAGACACCATATATAGTTTCATGTTCAAATCAAAGAAAGAATTTAGTAACAAAGCTAACTTTCTGTGAAATTAAATATTCCAATTTGGACTTAAGGACATTATCAATACCTTTAATGATTCATATGACACCTAGATCCAAGCTAATTTCTAAATTCTAACATACACCCCAGTGGCAAAGCATCAAATATTAAAATAAAAATCACAAAATCAATGCTACAAAAGCCTTGCAACAGGCCACAAAGGACCATTTACCTAGAGCTCATGCAAGGAATTTCCATTCTGATAAAAACCTGTGACACAAATTCATTAGGAGACAACATATTGAAAATCAATATCCAAAGGTCAAAAGGTCATGTTGTCATATCAATGCATCTTGTATAGGCCAATTGACAATATAGAAAAACAGAAAAAAGGCAATTAAAAGCAGAAGCATCTTCATCTCTAACAATAAATCAGGCTATTGGTTTCTTGTTTGAATTTTTTCACATTTTGTCATTCTATCAATGCACCTTTATTTAAACAATAGAAAAAATAACATGCACACATATGTTGTGTTTAACAATATCAAATGTACACATTAGATCTAATTACATTTGTATTTGGGTACACAGTTTGCAAGGTTTTTATTGGCTATAAATATATCTGAGAAATATTTTCTTGACCAGATTAGCTGCATTCAAGTAACACTCAAAAGTATATAACGCTGGAAACATATTTTGTATACTAAAATATAACCAACTTTGAAGGCAAGGGTTTAGTTTACTTACACACTCAATAAAAAGCAGACTTTTATTTTCTTTATTACAAATAACTTCTTTGAAAGGGGGTAGAGCTGACTAAAGGGAAATAACTCTTTAAATGAGTATTATGACTTTGTAATAAAATAAGTTTTATAAATGTTTTTTTAAAGAATTTATGTGACACAGAATTAAAATCATCTGAGTTACTTAGAAGCTTAAAATATATTACGGAGAGGTTGCCAAAAACTTTACGATTATTTTTAAGAGATACATCCCCTGTCTGAGAGTTATGTCCCTTAACAGATCTACATCTACCTACTCAAAGTGTGAATATACATATATTACATTGTGTTCATAATTTCCTTTCTGTAAAATATTATTGTCTAACATTATATAATGAAAGTTCTAGCACACATAACACAACATCAAGATAAAGGTAATCTGTATCATATCAGGGGAGATAACCAACATACAACATCAATCTTCACTGGAATCATGCATTTCCTACAATGAAAAACAAACTTTTTTAACAAAAATAACTGATACTGTTAACCTTTATATATAGTAGCCAAGAAATGAAGATTCCTGAAAAATTCACTGCCATAAAACTTAAATTACGTCTCTGTTCTATGAAATTAAGGTCACTGAGACCCAAATGTTACTGAATATACCATCCCAATACAATCTCAAGAGAACTGTAGTGGTAAATAACATTATAAAATTAGCTAAAAAATCGAAAATGAACCTGTGGTATACACAAAATGTAAAAAAATGAATCCCTCTAATGCCTCATTGGTGTAAGCCACAAGGTTAGCATGTACGAGCTGAAAAATCTCCTAAAATAATTTTACCAAAGTAAGTGAAGCAAGCGATGTAGGTCATTAGGGTGAATCACTTTTTTGGCGGGCCGTAAATGTAAGAAACATAAGTGTGTTGTCAAACCAAGTCACAATCATGAGTATTTGTCACAAAAATTTTCTAGATTAGTTCTAGCTGATGTTTAAGCCTGAAAAAGTAAGTCAATGATAAATGATTACCTACACCCTGAAACAAACTGTTGGTCACAAGATAACTAAAACAATGAGGCCAAAAAAATATGAAGGCCAAATAAATAAATGTAGGCCAAAAAAACTTTTTTAGTGGTATCCCTTTAATAGATGTGACAGCTTTGTATAAATAAACTGTTGACACAGAGATATGTGTCCTTCACTCTATGTAATTCAGTCTAATACAAATGTTGAAATTGAAATGGATATATATTTTAACATGTAATGTATAAAACCATTTAAAGTCAATAAACCAAAACTTAAATTATTTTGAGGTAAAATTATCGAAATATTCTTTATGAGGCTGAGGACAACCCATTCTTTGCAAATTTTAGGGGGGAGCACGCCCACCACGCCCCCGCCTGAATCTGCACCTGGCAATACTGTAATTGAATACGAACCTAAAAAGCTATCTGCTATTTGGTAAATGAAATGCAAAATAAGGTCAGAATTAAACTTACTTTGATTTTAGGCTACATATTCTCTAATTCTTTCAAATTGGAAATTAAACAATTTCTGAATCCAAATCAATCAACATGATCAAGTGTGGTTGCAGATGATCTCAGTAGATGATTTTCTAAGTTAAAAGGTCATAACCTTTATCAGCTCTCAGGATGAATCAAATGTGCTAACATGTGTTACAGAAATTGACAACTATATAAAAACTTTTACTACACAGAAATAGTTCGACCTTCAAAAATTGTTGTTCAAGTTGTGTACTATTACATCTGAATATGCATCTCATGAAATGCAATGTTCTTGATTAAAAATTTAAAAGTGGTCTTTTATTAATGTTTGCTTCCAGTTGATTTAAAGATGCATAAATGAAGTTTTTGCACATCAATTTAGTAAGTGTTGTATGAAATAGAAATCAGGAAAAAGGATTTTGGTTTATCAAAAATGAAGATTTATTTAATAATCATTAGAGAAATAGATTCTTACATAGTTATTTAGGTGGATTATCTGAATTTATCCAATCTGGATAGTTAAATTATCGAATTTTAAAATCCTCGCAGAGGCTCAAACTTTAAAATTTTAAAATTTAACTATCTTAATTGGATAAATCTGATAATCCACTGTCACCAATGTAAAAATCTATATTTCTCCTAAATGTGTAGGACAATTGGATATAAAACCATGATTGAATATCATTTAATTTAATACATGTAATAGGTGAATAAATGATTTGTAATTTGCAATTAATTAATAAAATTTCCTTTTAATATTTTTATTCTATATTTATTAAATGTTTAATTTTTTTTTCAAACACTGAAAGGTAAAAAGCTAAAATATGTTCTCTTTTTTGTTTATATTTTATTCCCTATCATCATGACATGCATCATCATGAGATGTTCTTTAATTGATTGATAGTTGGTGTTTGACTCCATTTTCAGCACACTTGGCTATTTCATGGCGGCTGGTTTTTATTAGCGGATCAATGTATACAAAGCCCGAGTACCTGGATGTAACCAAAACTTACGACAGGAAAAACTGCCAATCCTTAGTTAACTAAGATCTGAGTCAAACACACCTTGCCTAAGCGGAGTTCTAACTCATAACCTCGGTGTTGACAGGGTTACTGAATGAACACACTATAGATGAACTTACAATGTAACTTAGACAGTAGACCACTATGCAAATTGAGGCCCTGATTGTGCTTTGGAGATGCAATTAAAAAGGAAATGAAATTTACTGGTAAGTTCAATTTACTGCAATATTGACCCAATTATTGGAAACATCATCATGCAATTATTATAGAATCATCCTGCTTCCCAATGCAATTTAAATAATTGATCATAGGAAATGATTGTTACAATACAGATACATGTATCACATTATCTAATTGTTTGTCATTTATTATTTAAAAAATTGAACATGGTCTTGATCACTGAAGCATAACTGGAGGGGGGCCCCCTTAGGTCAGTCAGAGGGCCCCCCCTTATGAAAAGTTCTGGATCCGCCACTGAGTTTGATATCTTTCTCTCTTAAAGCAGTGACCCAATGTATATGGTTGTATGAAAAACAGTTTCTGAGATCTGGGCTCTGATGACAATGTACATAAAAAAGACATTGATATTGAGAGAGCATCAACTAAGCTGTACTGACCTATTGGCACAACAGTACCTAATTTGAAGAGATAAATGCAGTTTTCTGCATACGGATAGCAGAGCCAGTAAAGTGTTTATTTGTGCCTGTTAAATAAAAAAAAAGGGGGGGGGGGGGGGGGGGGGCAAGTCTTGAAATACAGAACTGTCAGTACCTATTATAATCTAATGCATTATTCATAAATGTTCAAAATAAAACATTTGAAATATCATGGACATGCTGACTGTGATTGAACAATATTGATACCAGGCCTCTGTTACGAATGACTCGGTCCACATGTATAAGCCATGACAGCATATGTGATCTAAAGCCAATCAAATACTGTGTCACATGGTATTCAATAGAACTATATGTTGATTTTGCCTTACATAATTCAGGGTTAAGTTCATGCAGTGTAAAAATATGGCAGGTATATACATGTATATATCAATCATCTCTTGTGGGGGCATGAGTTTTTTCTCTGAAAATGCAATTGTTTTTTCAACTACAATCAAACAATTATTTTTTTTCTATATATATCATACAGAAAAATTTTTTTTTTAATAAACATTGTTTTCACTCATCATGTTTATGTTATTGTTCTTTCAATAGAAAATATATTTTTTTTAATCAAAAAAAAAAAGAAAAAGAATCAAACATTTTATCGAAAAAATCAAATGCCCCGTTCAAAGATGTTTGGTCCCTAATTATAGAAAAACTACACAAAAATAATAAACAACAACAAATTCATACCGTTAATGTGAATCTTTCTGCCATCCGATTCAGATGTACGAGACGGAGAACAACCCATTCTCCATTCATTCAATGAATCATTCTGTCTTCCTGAAAAACATCTTATATTACAACGCACATGATGATGGCGGTGTCCATAACATTGTTTATTTTAAAACTGTGTACCTTTTTATAGAACACACATAATTATTTCCTTCAGAGATCAGCTGCTCCCGTATTGTAATCAGATTCACTATAATAACCAAGTGTAAACTCATTTACGTCAGTGTCCACTATGTCCACTATTCTGTTACAATAATTATTGTATATGAGAAGATGTTTTACAGTTATTATAATCCAATCATGTAAATCATCCGGTTGGTGAAAAATGGTAGATAAAATATTATATACTATAGTAGATATCCGTGACACCAGTATATTTTGTCAATTAACGAAAAATGGTCATAATAAGATGTTATAAATACATTTTTTTCTATTACTATTTTCATAAATTATTGTATCAATTTACTCAAGGTTTAAATGTACATTTTTATTACTGGTTTTATTGTGTAGTAATAAGGAAGCAATCACAACATGTTATTTTTAGTAAATTATTGAAATTATTACAAAAATCAATATGAATTGGGCTTATTTCAGTGGATTAATTAGAAAAAACCTCAATATTACCATTGTGACATCATTATATATGACTTCAGGTAGAATTCATAGTTTTTAATCAATATTTTAATAACATTCTGGAGCATTTGTAAACAAAAGCTTTTATTGAAACAAGTAGTTTTAATTATTTTTTAACAGAATTCAAAGCTGACCAAATAAAGATTTATAAACTGATCGTGATAATGGAATTTAATAATAGATTAGAATTAAGAGCCATCTGCTTTACAGAGGTCTACTTCCAAATGAATTAAGAAATAAATATTTTATTATAAAAAATGAAATCCCATTTTTATTGTTATAATCATAAACTTTTTTCCATGCTATTCATGTAATATCACAAACTTTTTCAAAATGTAATCAACTTATCACAATTTTTGTTGTTGTGATTTCAGGATCACAAATCTATGAAATCAAAACAAAACTAAATTAACACATTTCTCTAAAGTGATAAATGTGGATTTGCCTGAACTACTTTTGGTCTTATTTTAACTTTTAAAATTCCTAGATAAATCCCACAATATATTATTGAAGGTTAATTATAAAAACTGAACTCTGTAAAAAAAGATGTCCTTCTTTTATATTTAGCAACTATTTTATCATTTTGTAACAGAAACAAATTATTTGTTTTACTTATTTTCAACAGACACTAACATGACTAACTCCTTTGAAAAAAAAAATCGATAGAAACAATTAAACTACATGTATCATTGTTTTTACTTACATATGTTGTACATTGTATTTTCAACATAATCACACTATTTTGTTTACCTATTTTCAACAGAAATACACTACATGTACATAACTGGAGCGGGCTCCCTCTTAGGCAGTCAATGGGCCCCCCTTATGAAAATTTCTGGATCCGCCACTGTGTACATATCTGGTACAACATTCTTCAGCCAAATATTATATATGACATTTACCTCAGGCAGAAAACTTAACAAATTCTTCAAAACATATCTACTTGCTATATGATTAAATCTTTAACTATATCAAATTTAACCAAATATGGAAAAAATCAGGGTTGGCAGAGTTATGAGTTGCTGGACCAATACTTTTTCACATTTACACACTTTAAAATAAGAATAATAGAAATGAGCTAATAAAAGAAAATATTATATATGTCTTGTATAAATATATACCGGTCCATAGATTTTTATGTCTTGCATAAAACTTTGTAATTGATCACTGAATCCTCTTAAAGATTAAAACCACTATTTCATATTACAGTACAGTATTGCCCAGAAAAACCCGGGTTTTCCCAGTATTTCCCACTGGGCTGGGCAATACTCATAAAACCCCAGTTTTTGCCAACCTTGGGTAAAATTGACGAAAAAAAAACTTTTTGGAATATCAATTCCTTTTGCATGTGTCAGAAAAACAATGAAAATATCTGATTGAACATGGTTTTGACAGAATTTTCGTGTATATTCCTATCCGATTTGCGGATATATTCTTATATATCCGATACTCGATTACACGATAAAATTGACATTTAACATATATAGGAAAGGGTTTGGTGTTTTGAAATAATATTACAATCGCCGAAATATACGTTTAGCCGATATCCGATTAGTAGGGCATGTAGGGATTACAATGAAATTGAGTGTACTCATTAATATTTTCTTGCTGTTTTACAAAATATGGTAAAATTGGTTTAATTTCTGTAATGTCAATTAAATAATTTCCCCCTCCCCCCACATGCAGTAAATATGTATGGAGGGCCAGTTTATCACATATTTATGAAAGGAAAATGGTGATTTATTAATAGACCACTTATGTCTACAAATGTCAGAAATGAGTTTTGTAAGAAATAATATGATTATCGTTAGCTTTAGGAACTATATTATATATATCACTAGATATTTTCGTAATAAAGGATTTTTCTTTCAAAGTTGACTTGCAGTGAGGATAATTACAGTTTCTATGATTAGAAGCTGACGAAATATTCACGGAAGTGACAATAACGGAAGTAAATGGGAGTGGGCAGGTTTACCGGACGGGCGGAATTACCGAACACTACTGTATATACATGTATTATAAAAGTAACAATGAAGATTAAAAAATAGATATAGAGATAATAATTAAGACAACAATGTGACAAACTGTTTTTTTTTTGTGAGAAAGAAGGAAAATTTTAAACGAAAAAGTATGTTTATATTATTCGGCGAAAAATATATTGTTTTGGCGAAAGAGGAGGCGAAAAAGAAAATTGACCCTAGGGGAACCCTGGATCGAACCCTACCAAATGCGACTTGACTGACGTCGTGACGAACCCATTTGACCAGTTTGACAACTATACCTTTTAATTTTACCTATAGCTACGTTGTTAGGTTACAGTTGAAGTTTGTATATGTCTGCAACGTCTGAACTAGTACTGCAGAATATGTGGTACTCCCTAGCTTTTTGTAAACAGGAAACATAAACAATTCGTGGAAACACGAATCAAGGACGGGATTGACACAATTTTCCGTAATTTGGATATAATAAGTCAGTCAACAAATTTTAATTGAATCCATAATCTAATCTGCAGAGGCGCATTTAGTGGGAGCAGGATGCTCGGACAACGTATGGAGCTAAATATATGGTTAATGCATAGACTTTTTACATGTACCACTCCAAGCGTTGAATAGTTTGGGGTCCCGGGTCCCCCTTTTTTCAAACTTTGAAGACTCCTGGATCCGCATCAGATCTGGATTAAATAACGAACAATAACATACAACGATTAATAATTGTAAAAGGGCAGATATAATTGCATATGAGCAGAGACATATAGTATCGAGAATTTGTTCCAGATCAAAGAAATTCCGGTCAAGTACAGTATATATATGGCCGTCAGGTGGTTATCCAATCAAACAGATTTTAAATGTCTCTGATATGATATAAAATCAAAAGAAAGACACAGCCAAAACAATTGAGGACGGGATAAAGTAAATATGGTAAAATGCAGTCTTGAAATATTTTAAAACTATAATCCTGAGGTAGTTTAGTATTTGTAGAACACACATCGAATACTGTACATACAAAGGCATTGGAATGGAACGACAATGAATAATTTAGAAATGGATCCTTTATCCTGTCGATATTGTTTGTAACTTATACCGTTTGGCATTTCACAAAGTCATGCGTTTCTCAGACTGTTTATGAGGTCTTTACACTAAATTCGTTGGATGCATATTACTGCTTGATACTTTAATAGTCTGGGAGAAAATGATTGATTTATTAGTTGTTATTGGCTGAATTTTAAGTTGCACTAGTTTTCAGTAAATTCGATTTCTCTTATATCGTTGCTTTGTTTCTATTTTTTGGGGTTTTTTTTCCCCGATTAAATGTTTTTTTTGTAATCATACCAGATACATGTACCACATCTCCTTATTTTTATATTTAATAAATATCTATATTGATTCAGAAGTATAGAAATTAAGGAACATGACTTTTTGGCATAATCATGGTTTCGTCACACGTGGGAATAAACTTTTTTTAAGATACAACATCTTATATATGTAAATGATGTGAAGTTTTAATGTAATTTTATTTTATTTCAATATTAATGCTGTGCGAGGTTTTTTAGATGATGCTAGTGGTATGAAATTGTTCTTTGTGTAAGGGCTCCTTCTCCTTTTGATCCTGTTTCTTGTTATTCCTAAAAAAAATTAATATTATAAATTATGAAAAGTGGAAATTAGAAAACTGTTGTATAATTTATAAAAGGATGGATAAAAAAATGTTTTCAATGATTGTTTTATATATAACTGTTGTATAACTTATAAAAGGATGGATAAAAAAATGTTTGCAATGATTGTCTTATAATATAATCCCGGTTTCGTCCCACCACTATGGAAAACCATAATGATTTAACATTCAGGTGGGACGAAACAGGGATTATATATAGATAAGTGTCTTATATATAATCCCGATTTCGTCCCACCGCTATGGAAATTTATTACATTTAATATAGAGGATGGGACGAAACCGGGATTATATTATAAGACATTTCATACGCAACTATTATCAGCACCCGCAGTGCGCATGCGTCAAATTTTGCCACAATCGATATCGACAAATTTACTATAGATTGTTAAAAGAAATCTTAAAATTTTATTAGCTGTCAGTAAATAGCATTAAATTTCTTTTTCATTGGCATCAATTTTGAAATTTCAATTTTTAAGCTTTCTTCAGATCTAATTTGTATTTCGATAAGGATTGCAGAAGTTTGTTCCATTTTCAATTAAAAAACACAGGGTGCACGACCTATTACTTCATACAATTCAAAACCAAAATTGTGTGCACATGGGTTTTCATATATGAATTGACATTAAATCTTTATTAGAAACAACTTCATTCGCACGTATATTTATTCTCTGGTTTTAAATCTATCAAACGATTTAAATTTTATATTTTACAACATCTTGTGAATCCATTCCTTTTTTATTCAAAAATCGAGTTGCCATCATTTTCTGAAGTTGACCAGAAATAATCTAAGTCATACCAGGTAAATATTCATGGATAAATTATTAACACATGACCATGTGATGACTTCTATTATTCTCTGTATTTTGTGATTTTTTGCGTGAACCGCCTGAGATGTTCACGCTTAAATATTGGAGAGTTTTGGAAGTGTCTATGGGCCATTCGATATCCTCGGAATCAAAATTCTCGGAACGTCTCAAAAATTTTCGATGATTTATACAGGTAGTTATATATGTCTTTGATACGGTCTCTCTACGGATAGGCTACCACGTGACATTGTATGTTTCAATCACAGTCCATTTGTTGATTGGATAGTAAAACAATAATGACTAGATTGCAGTCAAAAAATTGTTTAAATGTTAGAACCTATATGCCTTTTGACAAAACATATGTGTTTTAATAATGCGAATGTTTATTGAATATCAAGTATAATGAAAACGCAATTATAAAGTTAATGCTTTGAGACGGTCCCTGTACGCGTTGTGTGTGTAGTATTTAATACAGCGCGTGCTGTTGTGCATTGTGACAAGAAAACCTGGGATATAATGTCCCAGAATAAATTGATTATTTCTGAACGTTTATCATTTGATATTTTGTATTTCAATCATAGCCTGGGAAAATGTCGGAAAGCATGAAGAAAATTAAGAAAACGATATTTCTGTTATAAATATTTCGACGTAGGTCGGAAACACAGTGGTCGGAAAGCAGAAAGATAATTAAACAAAAGGATTTTTCTGTCAAAAATATCTAATTTCACTTAATAATAAATACTACCAGACCAAGAGAATATTCATTATGAAGTTTAAACTGAGACTGAATTTATTCTTAATAGAATATAATTTAAAATGTTATATTTACGTGCATTATGTCTCACAGGTTTGAACAGTCATTACAATATGCAACGCATGAGCACCAATGAGCAGGGATGCGTACACAAAGTTAGCTAAATATCAAAATTTTAAACGGTAGTGAACGAACAAATACTTCCATGGTTTTAATTCACAAGGATTTGAAATCCTTGCATCTCACAAAAAAAAACGTAATTAATATTTTATAATAATCATAACAAAATTTAATTACAATGTTAATTATTTTATACTGTTTTAGTATGGATTTATAAGTCTTTGCTTATATTTTGTATAGCAATATAAACATATAGTGGAATGTTAGACTTTAAGAAGAGATTGATTTGATAAACGAAATGTCCATCCGTCCATCCGTAATAACTTTACGTTTGTGTTTAATAACATTATATTCTAAATTATCGGGAAAAAATCGTTAATAGGAATTAATGTATGTTAACTATAAAATTTCAATTATTTTTTATTTGTTTGTTTTAATAGTTCAACCTTATAGCATCTAAATCTTTGCACTATGGTACGATTTAGAAAATTGTTTTCATTGTGTTGACCAGCTATCCTACACGTCTTGATTCATTCACATTATACATCACCCTTTTCACACGCACACTATCGATTTGCGTTCACACAAATTCCGGATTAAATGGCAATGAATCCGGAGTCAAAACACTTGAGGTAGGTAGTTTGAAATCCGAATTCAACTATTAGATTGATATATGTGATGACGCAAATGCGTATTCTTATCCAGAGTATCAGTGCGTATGCATTCTATTTACTATTTCTTGCGCAAAAAATACCATGTGCATGCATAAATATCAATTTCACTCGCGAATGTGAATTTCACTTTTCTTATCTAAATTCAGGACACGGCAGTAAGACATGTGACTTTCAAGCATGGTCATCATCACTTACGGAACTCTGACCTCTAGCTGTTTCTCTTTTCTTTTCTTTTCTTTTTTGAGTCACTGTCCTATTATAAACTTTGACATTTTCGAAATGCTAAGGATTTTCTACCCCAGGAATAGATTACTTTAGATGTATTCGGCAAAACCTTTGTTTCGAAATTTTAGGTCCTGAATTTCTTTCCCCTTCGTACTTTATTTGGCCTTTTTAACTTTTTTTATTCGAGCGTCACTGATGATTATTTGTAGTCTTAACTCGCGCATGGATATATATACATCATTTTAATCCTGGTATCTTTTTATATCTACATATCTCTTTTATATAAATTGGTTCTCTTAATTGAGAGTGTGTTAAGGTATTCATAAAACTTCTGAAAATAAGATATTCTTCAAAACCAAGTTTTCCTGTAGAATATTTGGATTGATTTAAGTAAAATCAGGAAATCCTCAAAATTTGAGATGTTTTAGGGGACCAAAATAAGTCTATATATAAGAGGTCCCAATGAAGCTGGTGTGTTACTCTCAAGAAAAATACACGAAGCCTTATAAATTGCATGCCACAGTGTTTCACTTCACATGGAAATTGGACTTTAAATTTATCTATACAACATCTACCATGAGTACAAACAGCTTCAATAACGAGTTAAGAATAATTGAAGGCATCCAGGAAACAAAATATGAAGGTATGATAGATAAAATAAATGCATCCAGATTATAAAGCAAACTGAGTGCTTAAATTTGCGATTGGTTTGTGCAATTTGCATTAGACATCCGGTTTGCAGAAACTGGGATTTGCAATAGGATTATGAAAAAAGGATGTACACTCCCAAGTAATAAATAAAATAGTCGAGCCTTAAAATGTAAATTCAAATAGTAGCTGTATATATACACTTTTCTATTCACAACTATCCAACATTGCTTTCAACTGACTTGTGCAAGAATCTACACAATTACATATTTTAAATAAAGGTGTTTTAACATTATCATCATCTTATTCCTTTCACAGTCAATTATTTCAATTTAAAAACAAACAAACATTCAGTGCTCAACAATTTTTTGGTGACCAGTCAGCGGTCTAGGGTTCACGTGTTGCTTTTCTTTTTTTAAAGAAAGCAACTTGTTTCTTCGTGACGGTTTAATAGCCTCTTTCTTTTCAAGTTTACTTCATAAATTAAATTTCAAT